CTATTTGCTGAGGCTCAAGCCGGCTACGAGATCAGAAAGTCTCGGTGTGAGAATGACATGTCTGTGCACAGCAACAAATTGACTCCAGCGTGGCACTTAGGACCCCTACTAAGGGTTGACCCTTAGGTACCTACAATAGGAATATAAGGGAATCCCAAGGAGTAAGAGTCTAAGGTCCCTAAACTCTAAACCCTAATAACCCCAACAACCCTAATAACCCTGATGACCCCAATAACCCTATTAACCCTGATAACCCTAAACCCCAAAGCCAAGGCCATGGCAAACCTAAGTCCCACGGAGATTGCCAAAGCAAGGCTCTCAGCAAACTGCTCCAGCGCGATCTCGTTGGAGCTTTTGCCCTGGCCTGTGAACCACTCACGCACACCTTGGCCGTTGGGGGGTTTAGGGTTTTGGGTTTGGGTTTAGGGTGCAGGGCCTGGGGTTGAAGGCTTGGGGCTTAGGGTTCAGAATTTGGGGTTAAGCAACTTCATCAAACAAGAGCACCTTACGTGGAGCCTCAGCGTTAATGTTTCCGATGTCCCCAAATGGCCACCCATTCCCAAGAGACCCCATATCCAGGCAAAACCCATGAGAATAGCCCTACTTGAAAGTAGAAATCTATGTTTCGGGTTAAGCGAATTCATCGACACACCTTGCGGGCGCTGCGGTGTTGCGAGTGTCTACGAGCTTTGTTTGGGGCCGAGGGGTTACTGCGGGCGTGATTTACAGGCGCCTGCCGGTAGTGTGGGTTTGGGCATAAAAAAGACTGAGTGTATTATGGTTTGATGTGAACCCTAATCTAAACTCCGTAAAGGGGGTTTTATAGGAGATTATATAGGGGACTACTATAGGGGTTACTAAGGGGGATACTAGGAGTTTAGACTATAGCTTATGTACCGTTCAAGGCCTTGGAATTTATGGGTTCACGGGCATGGCGGACCTCAAGTCCGAGCTGGGCTCTTGAGAACACTGCTATAATCCTCAAGCACCCTTATAGCTCGAAACGCTGAACCTTAAGGCTCCTTACTCTTGGGACCTTTGAGACAACCCAAGATGTATGTGGAGGCCCTGTGTGCAAGTCTGAGAAGACGGCGTATGATGCCATCAGAGCCGGAAATCGTGAATTTCCTCACTGAACGCATGTAGATTGCACGGGGACTGAGTAGGGCTACATCGATATTGTCTGCAAAGATTTTCTAGGCAGTCTTACAGGAAGTGCAAGAGTACAGTCCCTGTAGACTTGATGATAGAGGTTCTACTATACTATGTAGTGCTGCATGTGAACCTCATATCGCGCATGCGGATGTTGAAGAAAATGAACTCAAGATCAACACAGAAAGTGTTGATTGTGGCCCTTTGGGGTTCTCTGTCTGCCACAATCTTACAAGTGGAAAGCTCCCCATGGGCAGGGGCTTCGCGAATTAGGGCTGAGGGTTTAGAGTTTAGGGTTTAGGCTAGCCCCTTCAAGATGGTGGGCCTGATTGCAGGGATCTGCCGGTTCCTAAACGGTAAGACCTACACCCTAAACCCCCAAACCCTAAACGTTTTTGGAAAGCACCAGATAAGCCTACTGCCAGTTAAAACGCCATAAGCCCGACTCTGAAATGTCTTTGCTAACCCCCTGCAGTAGGAACGCGGTTTTGGGTTCAGGTTTGAGGTTTTAGGGTTTAAGCTTTAGGGCTGGCCTGAACCCACGGAAACTGACACATGTTACCCTAGAATTTTCAAGTAGCAAGAACCGCAACGGAACAAGTGCCCAACAATTAGGTTGCTTTAAGCTTTAAGGGATCTGTGGGGGTGCATAGAGTTGAGGGTTTAGCGTCCAAGTACTCCATAACTGAGTACTTAGGATTTGGGTATAGCATTTGTAGTAGAAGTTTTTGGTGAGCATATGATTAGTGGCTACTTGGACACTTAGCGTATTCTATACCCTAAGCCGCTAGGCAGCCTAGGCCACAGGTATGCGGACGCATGCCCCAGCTTGAGGGGGATTTAGGGCTTGGGAAAAGCATTGGTCTTGTTTCGGGGGAGCGGACCTGATTTACAGGGACGAGAAAAACGAAAACGCATTAACAAGTTTTCAAGAATTGGCCTGAAACTGCTTAAGCCACCGCTTAAACACAGCAAAGAAGGTTTCTTGGTCAAGGAAAGTACACCACTTCCCGTGTGCAAACCTGCAGAACGAATGGAACATCACAGCTTTGGGGCTACACAGCCGCTCTTGACCCATGTTTCAGCAACCTACATGTGCCCATACCTTTTGGAGACCTGGACCTTGCCATCTGAAATCGGATCAGGAAACTTCTACCATGAGGTCTTGGACCATACGCTATGCCGCTATGCTAAATCCTTCCGCCCTCCTCGTAAAGGGGAAAGTGCATCCTGCACAATGAAAAGTACCATCGTACAATCCTGCGCAATGTTAAAGGCCAGGCCCCACACCCCACACCCTAAACCCTGGATCATACTTCCTTCTTGGGGCCAATCGAGGGGCGTCGGCGACTTGGCCATCTGCGGGAGAATGGAACATCCGATATGAGCACCCGCGCCACCTGATAAATGGAGAGTTCGAAGGTACTATACTGGGGATTGTCAAGCTTGTAGGACGCTGCAGACACTAAGGCCGCACAGAGGTTTTTAAGAAACTCAAGGGGTTCCTAGTAAAGGATTCTACAACTAGCTTGAGAAACCAAGCATACCCGATAAATCCTTGTTAAATCCTGCCCTTCATTGCCGGTGCAAATCCATTTGTCCTGGAGCTGTAAAATACATACGTATTTTACTGCTCATGAGCAAGTCTTGAACTCCAGAGTTGCAAGCCCCAACCCTCAAAAACTTAACACCTTCGCCATCCACCATGACAGGTTCACCCGTGCCCAATCGCTCGATTCACCCTCAACCCGACTCTAACGCAAACTGCAAACCGTTCACATGAAACCCTCAAGCTCTCAGCTGCGAAGCTCCCGCCACTCCTGGCCTCCAAAACCGCTAAGCCGCTAAGCCCGCAAGACCTACCGCCCCCCAAACCCTAAGAATCCAAGAGCGCTGACCACACCCAAGCAAACCAACGCCCGCTAAGCAACGAGAAGTTTTCCATAACTCCAACCTGAAAGTGCTAGACTCCAAGCCTGCTTCCGGCTTCCCCACAAAAACGAGACAACTTGAAACCAAGACCTAAACCCTCCCCAAACTAAACCGTCCGTGACATCTTAACCCCTAGACCCTGAAACCCCAACTAGTTTCCATGTTCGTTAACACTCTCCTACATATGCGTTTTTTTTTTTGAACAAATCCTATGTATATATGTATCCTCCGATATCCCCTAACCGCTAACCCCTATAAACCCTCATTCCTACGCCCTAAACCATACACTCACGGCTTACGCCGCTCACCTACGATGGAAGGCGAATTGTGGGCACGCTTATGCCCCTCGCGCTTCATGACGAAAGGCCGACCCAGAACAATCATCTGCTTTTCCACAGGCATGGGAACGGCAGCGCACCACACGCCCGGTACCAGGACTGGAGCTTCCAAATCCCGTCAAGGGCTTCCCGGGGCCGCTCGGTAGTGGAGATAGAACTGTGCTGTTGACCAAAATAGACCGAAAGGAGTCGGGGTCCTAAACTTGAAAAGGAACAGGTTTGAGTGGTTTGGCGGCCTCGCACAGCGTGGGGTGAATGTGCTAGATGGCCAGCCGCTGTCGGGCAATAGCAGCATGTCGCACAGCACGATGTGCTCGAGCTCACTCTGTGGCATGACAATCTCTGCTTCAACGCCATAACACAACAACAACCTAATCCCTAAACCCTACTCCCTAAGCCCTAAACACAAGACCCCTCCGAGTCAAGGGCTTTGGAAGCGGAGGTTACAGCTCATCGCCGCGTCGACCCCAGGGTCGTCGGGCCTCGGTGAAATGGGTTGGGATTTAGGGGTTAGTATATTCCTGGGGATACAAAAGGCTGAAAAAATCGGCCTTATGGTAAAAACCGGTTTTTAATGATAAAAGGCCGTATTTTCGGTTTTAAATGGTTTGCGGGGAATCTGCAGACCGGCCATTTTTTGCAGTAGAAATGCGTTCTGAGGCCTGTAGCACACTCTAGCAATCCCGTTCTATGGCAACGCAGGAATCCAAGAATCTTCTATATATTGCCAATCATGCAACCCTCCTGACTATACTCAAACTCCATAATGATGATCTTACTGGCCCCGG